GCGGGGGGCAGGAAGCCAAGCCCCACTCCAGGCCCTACATGGCCTATCTGCAATCACAAGAAGGAGCCAATTACAGTGGCTGTGGCGGGTTCCTGGTGTCGGAGAACTTTGTGCTGACGGCCGCTCACTGCCAGGGAGAGTAAGTGCCTCTGGGCTGGGACATGGGGGCGGGTGGGGTCAGCGGGGGAGGGGAACCTGGAAATTCTGGTGCCAGCATGGGGGTCAGGGAAGGGACAGAGGGTGGCCAGGCTGGGGGAGCTGAGCCCAGGGGTCTGACCTGCTCAGGGGTGTCGACAAGTCTTTAGAGGGCTCTGCAACCCACTGCTCAGCCCCAGCGCTGGGTACATCAATGGGAATGTGGACAGGGAGCCCAGCTTGGGTCTGCTCCATTGCCCAGCATGGGGGAGGGAAGGGTCACAGCCTCAGGGCAGCTCTGTAGGGTGCTGGGCTGAGGGTCTGGGCATGGACCCCTTCCTGGATCGATCTGGGAGAGGAGACTAGACTGGGGGAGCTTTGACCACAAGGCTGAAGAGGAGGGAAGGAAACTGAGTCCCGGCCTGAGACCCACGGACTGCCCTGTCCCCGCAAGAGCGGAATTTAAACGCCAAAAACATGTCCTTCCCCTAACAATCCACACATGTCACTCTCGGCTTTCACAGCAGCATCACTGTCGTCCTGGGAGCCCACAACATCGAGCAACGGGAACCGAGGCAGCAAGTGATCCGCTGAAGAGGAGGGAAGGAAACTGAGTCCCGGCCTGAGACCCACGGACTGCCCTGTCCCCGCAAGAGCGGAATTTAAACGCCAAAAACATGTCCTTCCCCTAACAATCCACACATGTCACTCTCGGCTTTCACAGCAGCATCACTGTCGTCCTGGGAGCCCACAACATCGAGCAACGGGAACCGAGGCAGCAAGTGATCCGAGTGCGACGGCAGATCCCCCACCCACAGTACAACAGGGAGACTTTAAAAAATGACATCATGCTGCTGCAGGTACCGCCCCATCCCATCCCCCACCCCAGTGACCTCACACTGCTGCAGGTACCACCCCCATCCCATCCCCCACCCCCAGTGACCTCACACTGCTGCAGGTACCGCCCCATCCCCTCCCCCATCCAAAATGGCCCCAGGCTCCGTGTGACATAGTAGGGGGCTGTCCACATTAGTAGCCCTTCATCCACTCTGGTTTGGCATTCTCTGGTTGCGGTGTTGTGCTGTGTGTGACCCCTACTGGCCTATGCTGGACTGCGGAGTCTCTGGGTGTGTCTCTGTGCAGGGCCCAGCCGGGGATGGTCGCTAGGGGAGGCACGGCCCAGCCGCCTGACACCTGGGCTAGGTGGAGGCTATCAGAGCAAAGCAGGGGGTGTGGCCATGTGGGGAGTAAGGGCCCAGTTGCTGGGAGTTGCGTCAGGCTTGGCTGGGGGAAGCACAAAGAGAGCAGCCTGAGCGCAGTACAGGGGGTTCAGGGGCCTGTGAACCCCGTTCCCCCAAGAGGACTAAGGCTGTCTGCCCTCGCTCCTGTGCTGTACCTCGGAGAAGCAATAAAACCTTCTACTCTACTGGATAACTGAGAGTCCCATCTGGCTGCGGAGGGGGGTGCAGGGTCAGGGGCTCCCCCCGACCTGCCATCCCAGCCTGGGACGGTTTTGCTGGGGACGATGTCTGTCTCCTTCCCCATGATGCCCTCCTCCTACTCATCTTCACCCTTCCTGTGTCCCAGCTGGCTGAGCCGGCGAAGCTGGATGGGTGGGTGGAAACCATCGCCCTGCCCTGTGCTGGTGAGGAGGCAGAACCCGGGATGGTGTGCCGTGTGGCCGGCTGGGGCTGCACTATTGCCACCGATCATTCGTCTGCAGCCAGCGCCCTGCAGGAGGTGGAGGTGGAGGTGTTGGCGGATGCCGAGTGCAACTATCGCAACTACGTCTCCTCGACCATGCTGTGTGCCGGGCTCCCATGGAAGGGGAAAGACTCTGCCAAGGTGAGTCTGCTCCTGGTATGGTCAGAGGTAAACAGGATGAGGTTTAATAAGGAGAAATGCAAAGTGCTCCACTTAGGAAGGAACAATCAGTTCCATACATACAAGATGGGAAGCGACTGTCTAGGAAGGAGCATGGCGGAAAGGGATCTAGGGGTCATAGTGGACCACAAGTTGAATATGAGTCAACAGTGTGATGCTGTTGCAAAAAAAGCAAATATGATGCTAGGTTGTATCAACAGGTGTGTTGTAAGCAAAACTCGTGAAGTCATCCTGCCGCTCTACTCTGCACTAGTTAGGCCTCAGCTAGAGTACTGTGTCCAGTTCTGGGCACCACATTTCAAGAAAGATGTGGAGAAATTGGAAAGGGTACAGAGAAGAGCAACAAGAATAATTAAAGGTTTAGAGAACATGACCTATGAAGCCAGGCTTCATGAACTGGGCTTGTTTAGTTTGGAAAAAAGAAGATTAAGGGGGGACATGATAGCGGTTTTCAAATATCTAAAAGGGTGTCACAAGGAGGAAGGAGAAAATTTGTTCCTCTTGGTTTCTGAGGACAGGACAAGGAGTAATGGGCTTAAAGTGCAGCAGGGGAGGTTTAGATTGGACATTAGGAAAAAATTCCTAACTGTCAGGGTGGTCAAATATTGGAATAAATTGCCAAGGGAGGTGGTGGAATCTCCCTCTCTGGAGATATTTAAGAACAGGTTAGATAGACATCTGTCAGGGATGGTGTAGACGGAGCTTGATCCTGCCTTGAGGGCGGGGGGCTGGACTCGATGACCTCTCGAGGTCCCTTCCAGTCCTATTATTCTATGATTCTATGAAAAGCATGAGTGGCGTGGAGAGGGTGCATAAAGAAAAGTTCTTCGTTAGTTCCCATAATAGAAGGACTAGAGGACACCAAATGAAATGAATGGGTAGCAGGCTTCAAACTAACAACAGAAAGTTGTTCTTCACAAAGCAAATAGTCAACCTGTGGAACTCCTTGCTGCAGGAGGCTGTGAAGGCTACAACTAGAACAGAGTTTAAAG